AAATTTATTTTAAAATAATTAAAACGCTTTAATTATAATAAAACTAAGTATAGCTTATTGAAATATACTAATATAAAAATTTTAAACTAATAAACAATTATAAATAAATGCAAAATAAAGGCTTCGAGTTGAGCCTTGAGTATCAGGCAAGCATGAGAATGGGGGAAGGTACTCGATGCGCGGAGGAGTGGCGAGGCCCACGCCTCCCGCGCGCTGGGTCCCACGCCTTCCTTCTCATGCCAAGCGACGGCCGAGTAGCTAGACTCGCCATCTTGTCGCACCGTGCATGGCTGCCATAGCGTACTCGCAGAAATTACCTCCGAGCGCATTCTTCTTCCCTAGTTCTAAATATGAATATTTCGCGTTGGATTCATCGATTTAATCAATAAATCGATGGCCCCAACACCTAACAATATTGTTTTTTTATCTATATATATGTATATATATCTAAAACTGTATGTAAAAAAAAATTTTTTTTAAATTTAAAATAATTAAAATGATTAATAAAGTTTAAAAGAAAAGGATATATATATATATGTGTATATATTAATAATTTATATAAGAAAATTTAAAAGTAAAAACAAAACAATTATGTAATTTATAATATTAATAATAAATCATATAAATTATACTTAAAGAAAGAATAATATTAAGGTTATTTAAAAAAAAAAAAAAAAGAGAAAGAATATTTCTATTATTATATAAAATAATCATCGTAGACATATAAAAAAAGGGGATACATTATATAAGGAAGACAAGGATGGTGAAATTAAAATAAAATAAATTTTACAAAATTATTATAATATTTATTTAAAAAAAACACTCACTCATTCACACTACAAAAAGTAAACTCACACACACACATTCAAAATATAAAAGGATACATAATAAAAAAAAAAAAAAATTTTTTTAATTGAATGTTAAATATAATTTTGAGAATTCACACACACACACTATAAAAAACATGTTTCACACACACACAAAGGTATTTTCAGCGGATCTTCTTCTATTGATTCAGACTCTGGCCCATCAATAGCACTCTGCCCTACAGAAGGATCGGCAAATGGTCGCCAAAAGGGGGTAGGACTAGGCTCCTGTGGGGGTAAAGGGTCAGATCTCCAAGAAGGGCCAGGTTGTGGAGAAAAAGAAGGACCCGGCTGTGTTCCACATGGTGAACCAAGCTGTGGTAAACCGATCTGATCATGACCTTCTGCCAACCAGACCATGGCCCTAGGCCAAACCCTTGGTTTCTCGCTCATCACCAAATCAGACTGCTCTAATTGAACTGCAAAATAAACAAAAAAAAAAGAATAAACCTGCATAAGTATACAATTATATAATTTAAAGAGAGAGAAAGAATTACCATCTTCTGAAGAAAATCTCGCCCTTTTTGGGAGTGGAGTTTGACAGTCCCCACAAAAACATCCAACGGGACGACCAGGACGACTAAAAAAAAAAAATAAATAAATATATATATACATTTACATAAGGAGTTAATAATAGTATAAGGAAACAATTAGTAAATTATAATATTCTATGCATACATAGTATTTATATATGCATATATATCCACTATATACATTAAGAAACAAATATAAATAATATAATATATATATATAAACATTATAAACAAAATTTAAAGTACTCACAATAAGGAGTTGAACATAGAGGTCATTTGACCAGAACTCTCCTTCACTTCTCGCTTCAAACCACGAATTTGCTTCACCCTTATTTTATTATTGATTGGATCCTTCACGATCCCTTTACGGGGACGTCCTCGCCGGGTCATTTCTTCAAGGAACTCCAGCTCCTCCAAAGAATAATGGATTGAAGCCGCAAGGCCTTGCAGCGTTAAAAAATAATTTATTAAATTGGATCCACATTTCCTCTCAGCGGACACTAAAAGGATACAGACAAAAGGAATATAAATCAACACTAATCACATAATTATTTAAATAACTAATTAACACAATACTATAAACGTAGACACTCACTATCGTTTAATGATGGTTGTTGCTCCATGATATTTGCGTACAAACTGACAAGATCTTCGGACCTCCTACATCTTAAAGGGATGAAAAATGCTGACCTAAATAATTCTAATGCACGCACACAACAAACAAGAGGTCATTAACTGTACCACGAAAGAAGAAATTCATACCTACCTCGAGAAGATAAACATATCACTTTGAATACATAAACACGCATCACAACATTGTAGATTCATTTTGATGTCATTTCATCATTCTTGTCTTCATATTAGCTACTACAGATAAGCTCAAGGGATATCAATGTCACAATGAATGTAGGTCAATAAGCGTAAGGACTATAAAAGATAGTCTCAATTTCAAAAAAATTCCAGTCTTATAATCATGTATTTGCGACAACTGGAAATAGTTTCATCGGGACGATGAAAAATCTAAGGGGGGGAGACTGTTACATCCCGGTAACAATTTTCCCTAATTTTTCTTATTCTTATCATTAAAATAAGACATTATATATAATTCTGTAATAATTTTACAATACTTAAACTGTATGTCTTATTTTAATGTATTTATTTATGTATATATTGATAGGATAGAGTGTGGAAACGAAATTGATCTCAAAAGAGATATGACATTCGTTTTCACCATATAAGTTCAGAAAGTTGAAAAGCTAAAAATAGGATATATGTAAGCAAAATGTGTAGCAAGTTCGAGCTTGTTTGTTTATACGCGTGAAGAATGTGAAGGTTGTGAAGATCCAAGTGTAATATGATCTTCAAAAACCCATTGTCAGCATATAAAAGAGAGAATTCAGAAAGAAGAAGATTCAATGTCATACATGCGATGTAGGCCATTACCATATAAGGAAAAGTAATTCTATTTATAGTTCACCCCTTCTCAATAATATGACATTTCTCCCACTAATTAGCATAATCGACTAGTATATAAACAAGAGCTTTTTCCATAAAGCTTGTCAAAAGTTCCGGTGCAATCTCTAACATCGTAGAGCGACCCTTCAGTTTACTTTCGCCCTAATTATTGTATTCTTTCCTGATAGCCAATAGGTGCAAGTTAATTTGACTTTTCACTTAGAACATAGTTCTTTCCTGATAGCCAATAGGTGCAAGAGAAGCAAATTAACACTTAGAATCAATAATTTAATAGAAATAACTGTCGTATTTATAACTATAAATACTAAAGAAATCTTGCATTATCTCTTTTTCTAAATTTGTCAATTTAGTATATGTTGCTTCTCTTACACCTGCTATAAAATTCATTCCTGTCAAAGGTGCGAGTGACGAGAGATAACAATAAAGAATATTGCAATTCTTTAAATAGTTATAAAACAATTTAAGTCGTTAAAGTTACACAAGTGCAACCAAAACGAACTATTTCAAATCAAATCAAAACCAATTTATAACGACTAAGCTATAATCATCGATTTATCCGACTTCATTGCTAAAAGTAAGTAAACGAATTGTAAACTTGTATCATTATTGTTTAATCATTACTATATAATTATTATTTAATCAATAAATGTTATAAAAGGGAATATTTGACTTGTTATTGTAACGCAAAACCCGTAGTTTTGACAAGTGACCACGATCCTACATAAAAATAAATATCAGGCTTTACCAACCTGATTAATCAGCCTTATTACATTCAAGTAAATAAAATTAATTTTTATTTAAAACCACGCCTAGTTCGGAACGTAACATAAATTATCAATTAATCCCCCTTATCACATTTAATTTATACATTGATAGTACTTTTCAAATTAATTGATAATATACATTCAAATATATATCTGCTCTTATAATTACCATTGTGACAAAAAATTTTCAAAATTACTAAAACAGTTGTCATTAAAACGAAAATTTAAACAATTTTTTTTTTAAATGACAACTAACTAAAAACGAAAGTAAAAGGGACTTTCTCCTTTAGAACTGACAAAAATTAAATTGTTTAAAACTTTTATTTTAAAGAAATTATTATAGCTACATATTTAACTTTCTTTGACATTGTTACATATTACATGGAGAAAAATCCAATTTTTACTCTAAAAATTTTTTAAAGTACATTAAATTCAATTTCTCAGCTGGTGTCTTTCAGAAGGTATCCAAAATTGGAGAAGACTGTTTTATGGAAAACCTGTTTTACATAAATTAATAATTCAACCATTATTCTCTTAAAGAAGTTTTATTCTAGACAATAAACCGAAAAAATGGTTTAAAAAAATTAAATTTGAACATATTTTTATCATAAAATCGAAGGAAGGCTGTGTATTTAGGGCAACATATCGTTTAAAATAAACAAATTGTAGAAATATGAAATTTTTAATATTTATTTTATATCTTTGAAATAATGAATCGAATGGTCTTTACTTTTTAAACATCGGTTTCTGTTAATTTTGAGTAAAGTATCTCCCAAAAAATAAGGTACTTCATTTTGGAAGACGCCACATATAGCTGAGGTAATGGATTAAATATACTTTAAAATTTTTTTAAACTCCCTCAATGTAATAGGTAACAATTACACATGTACAAAAAAAATTTTGTACTAGCTATAATAATTTTACGCTCATACGTAAAAGTACAACTGGGGTGGAAAACTCCCCAACATTGTTTTGTTGCTAGAATGTTTATATTTTACGTAAAATAAGTTCATTATATGTCATTGTCTTTGTTTTTTAATAACAAAGAACATGGTTTTTTTCGTTTTTTGATAGGAACAAAAATATTGTCAAAAAATTACATAACCCATCAGCTTTTTTTAATTTTGAAAATATGTAACTTTGAAGAAGTCACATACATTTCGCGTTTATTCGATAACCAAAATTGTATATCAATTTGAAAAAATGTGTTTGAAGATGAAAAAATTACTGTTTACTTTTGTAAAATTATAATGTGATCACTTCTTTAAGAAATAAGTCACTTTGAAACCATAAAAAAATTACTTAATGACTTTGCGTTATACTGCGATTATTGTAGGATAGGCACAAGTTATGGGCAGCAAATGTATCATGAAACATTTTTTAGGTATTTCGCCACAGGAGATCTTATTTTATCAGTGTCCTTGGCATTCAGAATTGGAGAATCCACTGCCCGAAATATTATTAAAGAGGTATCACAAGCTTTGACACAAGTGCTTTCACCAATATATTTAAAAGCTCCAGACACTAATCGATGGCTACAAATATCCGCAGATTTTTTACAAAATTGTAATTTCCCAAATACTGCAGGCCCTTTCGATGGAAAACATTTTGAAATTAAATGTCCATCGAATTCGGGTTCATCGTATTATAATTACAAAAAAAACTTTAGCGTCGTTTTGATTGCAGCTTGTGATTCAAACTACAAATTCACAGTAATTCACGTAGGAGAAATGGGTGGGAATAATGATTCTGGGATTTTCGCACAAAGTCCTATTCGACTATCTTTACACAATAATCAAATTGGATTGCCGAACGGGACTGCTGCACTCCCTGGCAGTGAAGAGAGAATACCGATGGTTTTTCTTGGTGACGGAGGGTTTCCCAATTGGCCACATTTAATGGTACCTTATTCTGGTAAACATGTAAATGAAAACAGGCGCATTTTCAATTACCGTCTATGCAGAGCTCGCAGATTAATTGAAAATGCATTTGGCATTCTCACTGCGCGGTGGCGAATTTTCAGAAGAGCGTCTGAGCTTTTAGTTGACAGCTTTGATAGTGTCATTTTAGCTACAATTTGCCTTCATAACTTTTTGAAAACAAGAGATGAAGAACAGAATTGACCAAATATTTTATACTGTCCTCCTCATTTCATCGATCGGGAAGAAAATGGACAATTGCACTTGGGTCAATGGAGAAATCATATGGATGGCGAGAATTTGAGAAATTTGCCACGTCATTCAAATGCTACTCTATCGCGGATAGGAATGGATATTAGAATACATTAACAACGTATTTTGTAACTCCAGAGGGTGAAGTGCCATGGCAATACGAGTACGTTAGAAACGTTACAAATTATTAAATATACTCTTGAAAGAATTTTCAATAAAACTCCAGACTTATTCACAAAATTCATTTGTTATACCTATAAAATCAATTAAAACATGTACGCTATGAATATAATTTTCTTATTTTTTAGTTAAATATGTTACGAAAATGATATTGAATGCATAACAATTATATACTGTAATTAAAATTGTTAAAACAAGAAATAACATGAAATTATACGGTTCCTTGGACTAGCCCAAATATATAAAAATTGAAAAATTGATTAAGTTATTTAACTAAAAATACATTTACGAAAACAAATTGAAAATATAATATATCTTCTAAAATTGAAGATAAAGAACATGTCGACAATTGTTAGCGACAGATCAATGATTACTAAAATTTATTTATTTTTAAGGCTTTGAAAATTATTTTTTGAATTTGTGTTTCCTTTTTTCCAGAAAAGATAATTTATAATTTCGAAAAAATATTTTTTTGTATTATGTCTTATTGAACATTTATTTATTTATTAAACATTTCAATTTCATATGCCTACATCTATAAATTTCAGAACACATTGCTTAATACCAGTTTCACGAGTTATAAAAATAAAACCTTGTTTTTCAGTGAACACAATACATGTTAACTTGAATTTCTCGTACAAACAAATAAATTTTCTTTTTTTTATACATACATGTGTAACATTATAATTATTATCTGGTTTTGTTAGTCTTACAAATGTTCAGACGTAAGATTTGACATAGAATTCAATCGAATTTTATTTTGTATGTTAGATTTTAGTTCAATACATTTTCTAAACGAAGGATAACTTAATAAATGAAAAATTTAAAAACTAAAAACACACTGCAAATAAACAACATGTACATAATTTAAATCTTCATTGAATCTATGTCAACGCCTTACCAAAAATCGCCAAATACTACAAGAAACATTGCTTCATTACTTACTAATTTAACGAGTTATAAAAATAAAATTTGTTTTATCTTACACAATATAAAACAGAAATATAATATTGTGACATTTGCAAAAATACTGATATCTTTCTTGTTAACTGAAACCTGAGAAACTGTATTCTAGTCCCTTTCATACAAAATGTTTAAAATCTTTCATTTCTTTCTTGCCCTTGCGTTCTCATCGAGATCAGCCAATTCTGAAGTTATTAAATTGGCAAATATGTCGTCCGCCGTACCTAATATTTTTTTTCTTGTTTCTCAGTTGAGTCTCGATTTGAAAAATGTTCCTGCAATGTCGATGATAAGTTCATAAATGACTTTTCTAGAGCATCTATCTTTTTGCGTTTTTGAGTTGTTGGATTGTAGCAAAATTTTGCATTCAGTCGTTGGCACAGAAGGTGTTTTTGTTGGTATATTAACATTTTTTGAAGTCTGTGGCACTTCTTCAGGCTTATTGTCGACTGAATCAAGAGATTCTAATGCATGAAGTATTTCTTTATTTTAGGAATTTGTGACATCTTCAATCTCTATTTCTCCAGATAAAGAATCATCTACAACCAGTTTAACTTTTGTTGAAATCCTTGGTGAATCCAATGAAAGTTCGGAATCAGCTAAGCCTAGTGCCACTGATGAAGACAGCGTTCTATATTGAGATCCGATGGTCTCAGATATAGGTGGAGTTCCAGATGGAGGTGGCGTTGGTATTTGAGAATAAGGCAAAAATGATAAAAGTTGATTCGAAGTACTTGCTTGTGGAATTTGTGATGTTGATGGACAATCATTTTTCGGGAGCAAATACATTGTATTTAGATTCAGCAAAGAGATGTTCGATGCGTTGGCAGGATAAAGTATGTTACTAAAAGCCCTAAAATTAGCACAAAGAAAGTGTATTGTAGAATAAGGTTTTAAAAAAACCGAATAATGCAGCTTAAAAGAAATTACATTTTTGATATTTACTAAGATCTAATTTTTGTCTAAATCTTTAAAAAAAATTATAATATTTACTGACGATGAATATTTAGGGAGTCCAGTAGTTTAAAAAAAATTTTCAACAATAAAAATTAAAGTTTTTATTAATTCATAAAATAATTTTTTTTGAAATCAAACATTAATTATTGTTGCCCCTAGCAGCAACCAATGTTCCAAGATAAAAAATAAAAAGAAGCAAATTTGTGAAACATTACTTTTATTAATTTTTCATAATAGTATAAATTTTTAGATGCAAAAAATTGCAGACAAGATTGTCTCCCTTCCCTGTTTGAATTTTACTTGTGATTTTAAAAAATTCTATTTCTTATACAGATTTTATTATTTTATATTGAAAAATTTGCTTTTTAATAAGTCTAAACACCCAACCGATGGATTCAAAAAATTTTTACTTTTTCCCAATATAAAATTTTTTAAATTATTTAAATAAATAAATTAGATTAATTTTAGATTTGAAATAATCTTAGAAAAAATTTCTAACTTGTCATAAATGGAAATTCTAAAATTTCATTCATTATTTACGTTATTCCATAATTCGATCAACAGTTTTTGATCTATTTTAAATCTTTTAGAGTATGAAGAATATCTTGTATAAGCCAGATTTCGTACTTTAAAATATTTTTCATTAATAATATATTCAATAAAATCAAGTTCATCATGAGAATGATTAACAATCGAGTTTCTGTATTTTTAATGAAATGCTTAGAACTTGGAATCTGGAAAACTGTTCTATTTTCTTAATTTTTGATTTTATTTTTTATTTGAATGATTAATGTTTAAGAGGAAAAAAGAGGCAAATGTGTTTAAAAAAATGTTTTTAATTTTGTTAAATAGGCTAATAATATGTTTAAAATTTTTTATATTGTTACGAACCGAAAAATATTAATTATAAAAATTATTATTCTTTATGTCCTGGAGGCACCAAGCTGCCGAAATTAAAAATTCCGTTTATTTTTATGGGATCGTGTATCCTATTTTAAAAGAAACTGCCAAGTTACGTTATTCGAAAATTGAATTTAAGGGATAAGACACAATGAAACAATTAAGACCCTTTTATACATTTATTTTATAAAAGAAATCTCGACTTTAAAATGTTGAAATAATACAATAAGATAAGAAGATGGAACGATACATGTTTAAAAACTTACTCTACTGCTTATTATACCATCGCAAGCTAACGAGGGCGAGGCTTCGAGCTGCTTTCCGACGGGCGAAAAAAAATACACACACTTATCAAAGCGCGAAAATGTCATTTGGTAGCGCACAAGAATGCACTTACGGGTCCACCGAATTTAAACAGCGCAGGCACCACACGTGCGGACTGGCCGGTCAAAAAGACAAAAATTCAATAATTTGATTTTATTCAAATTATTGGATTTTTATTAAAGACGACTTCCGTTGGACTTCGTCGGCGTGAAGTATTCATTTTAACTTTACGTCCGTCCAATTTTAATCACTATCTATGTAGTGGATTGTAAAAATTGGAAATCCGACTCACGGACGGGCTTAGTCCCGGCGTCTCAAAATCGTTTTTACGCCTCTGAAGAATTTCAGAGCTGACTCGCGAATGAGAGTTGTACAGCAATTAATTGATTTCCGCGATGCACTTTTATATGAACGTTTAGAGACTTCAGGTGGGAAAATTTTGTGGACTAAGGGTTTTTAACACGTGAACAAGGCGTGAGCTCTGGGCCTGTTACTATGCCAATAATGCTGAGTTTTCGTTTTCTGTTAACAGTTATAGCCAAATATAATAATAGTCACTTAATAAAAATCAAGCATAAATTATTATTGAAAGACTTGTTTTTTTTTTTTTTTTATTATATATATATTTTTTTTTTTTTGGATTTATATTATGAATTTTCCTTGTTGGAAAATGTTTTGATTTTGGGTATTTTTATCCCTTTTTCATTTGCGACAATTACAACTTTGATGTTGTGTTGTCGTGGGCATGTAAGATTGTTAGGCCCAGAATACGTAATAAAAAGGGGTGAAGTAAGAAAGGATCGGAAACTGAAGAATTACGTTCATGGAAAAAGCTCATCGCGTAGATTTGTTCTAAATATCATTTCCCATAATTCGTGAGAAGTCCAATTTCTAATGTGGTTTCTACGCCTATCTATACTCATTTAAGACCCGCAAGCAATAATAGTACATGAGTAAAACACTTATTGTCGTTATTTGTAATCATTAGCTTCCATATTTTTATCTTGAGAACGTTAGTCTAAGAGAAAAAGATTCGCTGGTACAATGTATCTCCTTTTCTCTTAGAACGGCTGTTAGGTGAAAAGAGACGCACGCTCTATAGTGAATACAAGCGAGAACACTATGCGGTTGAGAGAGAACGCATCAATAATGTATCAGAGAGAGAAAGATTCCTATGTATAGCATATCTTCTTTCTCACTCGCGCAATGCCGAGGGATGCGCGGGGAGCTTCCACTGACCGCGTTCAGCGGTGGCCCCCACCCGTCGATGCGAAGACATTATTTTAATTTCGAATACTTTAATTTTTTTTTTTTTTTTTTAATTAGGTACTTATTTATAACAATAATAATACTAGCAGAATATATTTATCTACACACAAATAGCAACAAAAATAATAATAATAATAATACATACATACAATTGAGAGAGGAGAAAATGATATAAATTATAATTAAAATATATGTTGAGCATTTCCTGAAAATCATTGAAATCATAATAAAATAATTTTAGGTTGCTGGAATTATATTTTCAAGCAGAAAAAAAATAATTTACTGTCGAGGCCCGAGTTCATTTTCGCGCGATAATCAGCTGCTGACGTACTCATTTTACAGCAGTTTTTGGTGCCTTT